AATTCCTATTTTGTTGAGTGTTTTTATCAGGAATGGATGTTGGATTTTGTCAAATGCCTTTTCTGCATCAATCGATATGATCATGTGGTTATTTTCTTTGTTCTTATTTATATGGTGGATAATGTTGATCGTTTTCTAATGTTGAACCATCCTTGCATCCTTTTTATGAATTCTTTCTCAGGCATTTCCAAGGCCTGCCCTCCTTCCACAATTCAGTCCAGGTCTACCTTAGGTCATTTGTCTCAGACAGTTTATCTTGTTTCTGGACATGTGCTGATATGGTCATCTGCTTTTGCTTCTTGGACATATTTAGTGTTATCTGTAACCTTAGTACTTAATTGGTTGTGTGTTTCGGTATTTTTTTATGTTTTCTGATTGCCTCTTGGTAGATGTGATCAGGATGTGGGCTTCCCTTTTCACTCTTCTCATTGCTTAACTCAGAGTAACTTTCACAGGTGTTGTCTGTCTCCCTGGTATATGGCAATTGGTATTGGTTCTTGCCTGGATTTTGGTGTTTTATAGAGCGTGATTGTAGATTGACTATATGGCAGCAGTTGCTGTCTCTTCTTGGGTAATATAGGGAGAGAAAGTGTCCCCAAAAGCTAAAGGGGGAGAATAAAACAGCAAAACAGCAACAGCAAAAACCAAGAAAATAAAACCAAAAACCCACCAAAACAACAACAACAAAACTAGACTGATTACTGTAGTCTATAATCGCAGAAAAGGGAGAGGAGAGAGAGAAGAAAAAAAATCTGTAGCCTAATATGAGTATGACTTTAATGTCCTCTTTCAGCTTCTTGCCTTCAAGGCCCGCTGATAAATTTCAAGATGCCCCTGTTGGTTGTTATGCTATACCTAAGGATTTAATTTAATTTTCAGCCTCTTTTGTTTTTAAACTCTCTTTCCCTCCCCACACCACTTGTTCTGGCTTTTTCCCTATTAAAAAACAGTTCAGGGCTGGCTCTTGGGCTGACAGTATCTGTGCACATGTGTGGTAGGGTGGGGGTGGGGGGTGTCCACTTGCTCAGGCACCCCCTCTAGTCACAAGAATGAAGGTGCGCAAAGAGTGGGGGGGGGGCAATGAACAGATACCAAAGAAATCAGAACAAAGCAAAACATCTTTGATCTGAGGTTCCTATGGTGTTATTCTGTGATGGGTCTGTTCCATCGTTTGGTCCTACCATTTGGTCTTGCTCAAGTTGTTGACTCAGGGCCACAGAGCCCAGCAGATTCAAAAGGATGTGATTTCTTACTTCTGCTACAAGTTCCACTAGTCATAAGCCTCCAAACTTTTAAAATATTACTACCTATGTGTTGAAGAGTTTTGGAGTTCTTCTCTGAACCCACTTTGCCTGGTATTCTGTGGTACTGCTGACGACAAACTTCACTGTACCTCTACCCTATACACCATCAAGCCCTGCCTTTTCTTTCTTTCTCCTGCTGTCTCTTTTGAGATTAGGGTTTACTCTGAGATGTGGAGACCACTGTTTCCACACCCCTTCCAAGGTTGTGTGGGAGTCCTGGGTGGGTTCCAACTACCCCACCTCTCAAGAGGCGCCTCCTGCTGCAATAAATACTAAGACCTTGGTGTTTTCAGCCTTGAGCTTAGTGAGGCTGTGGGAGGGTCAAGGACAGCCTCAGCATCACTGTGGATTTGGGTGCAATTCAGTGGAAGACCTTGGAGGCCCCAGGAGTACACATGCTCCATCTCACCTGCTGACAAATGCAAGGCTGGGGGCGTCTTCTCTATGAGGAGCGGCCAGCTCCGCTGGACTCCATGCCACTGGCACTCTCTAAGTCAAGAAACAGAGGATGGGTAAGGGGTCCCGGCACCACAGCCCCCAAAGCATTTACAAGATTTTCTTCTCTCAATGAAGCTTAGCTCTGGCTGGTGGGTCTTTCTGATGGTGGTCTTCCCAAGGCAGGACCAAGGGTCCAGCCAGGGTTACCCCAGGCTACCCATCTCTCTCCCCTCTCAGAGGTCAGCATCCTGAGCTCCTCAGTGTCTTGGCTGCAAGGTCACAGTCCTGCCTCATAGGTCTGAGCCTTTTGGTCTCCATTGCTTCATTTCTGAGCCCTAGACAGGCAGAGCAGGGTAACCCAAAACGGTAACTAGCATCAGCCCCCTTCTACCCCCAGGACTGGGAAACAGAATCCTTTCCTCTGTCCCAGTCTTTATTCTCACTGAACCACAGGTCTCACACTCAACTCTCCACCAATTGCTCCAACACACCAGTTTCCAGGCATCTGAGCCTTTGCAGATGCTGTTCTCTCTGCCTCAACGCTCCTTCCCCTCTCCCTTGTGTGAGCATATTCCACTGATTCTTTGAGACCAGTTCTCAGATAGAGGAATGCACTCTCTTCAGAGCCCAAGTGGACTGGCTGACCCTCCAAGCCTGCACAGCACACCCTCTTCTGCTGTGGGGCTGTGCAGGCTCAGGAGGGTGACAAGGTCTTACCAGACTAAGCTGCAGGGGTGAGGGTCTTTACAGCCCACCCTTCCAGCACACCATATCAGCAGCGTCTGTTAGTGCTAACAAGGAGATGCATGACGCCGTGGGAGAGAGGCTAGCCTTAGAGAGAGAAGGTACGACAAAGACCAAGTGTCAAAGCAACAGTGACAGGAAGTGACGGGGTAACTATCAGAGTTGTGGCCACAGCCTGGCTTTTGTAGGGCGTGTGGATGGGTAACACTGCCCAATTCTTCGTGAGCTACTGTCTATCTGGTTAATATTGCTGGGGGGGGAGGGGGGGAGGTGCAGCGCGGAGATGCATGCAACAAGATGCAAGGATCCCCAAGACTATTCCTTTACAGTTTCCCATGCCCACCTCAGGCCCCCTTCTGCTGGTGCAGGACCCTCTTGGATTCAGGGGTTCCCTTGGAGGCCCAGTCCCTGCCCCACTGTTTCCTTCACCCCTTCATCCCACTTCTGGGGCATGATGTGAACCCCAGCTTTCCTGGGATGGTCAGAGAAATCAGGGAAGGAAGCCCACTCTGAAGAGTACTGGTGTCGGGCAGGTGAGGAGGAGTGCTCAGTGGGTGTACAGAATATGGGTGTTGGGGGACGCACCCTGCCCCTAGTGCTGCCAGCCCATTCACAGAGAAGGGAGACGAGATTACAGCAGACACACATTTATGGATGTCAGGAACCCAATTGGGGCCACCTGGCCCGGCAGCAAACCCCACCTCCAGTTCAAAGGTCTTTGCCCAGTCCAGTGGCCCGAGTCAGAGTTGAGGCTCCTTCAGATCAGAGGGCCCTGAGAAGCGAGTCTGTGCTGGACCCCAAGAGTGAGCCTGGAGCATATGTGTGTCTGTGTGTGAGCCCACCAGCCTCGGAACACGTAGCCCAGCATCTGTGTGCACATGTCTCTGCGTGATTGTGTCTGGGAGTCCCAGAGTGGGTCTGCATGTCCTGAAGCACCCTGCATGAACAGCTGAGCTGTGTCCACATGGGCATCATGAACACGAGGCAGTGTGCCCAGCTGTACCTATGAGCACATAAATTGCATGTGTGTGCCATGTGAAGCGTGTCTGCATGTGTGCAGCTGGGGGCTGTTCGGTCCCCAGGGTGTGAGACAGCACCTAGCGTGTCCTCCGAGTGTGTGTGCAGCCGGCACAGTGACCGTGTCCTGGTGGGTCAGGCCAGTGGCATATCATCTGGGCACATACTCTCTGGGCAGCCCGGTCCAGTTGTGGTCCCGCAGGGCTTTGTCCACAGTTCGGATGTAGCCGTTGATGAGGTCCTTCATCTCTGGCGTGAAGAGCTCGGGGTCGTGGGGGCGCCGGCCACGCCGTCGGAAGCTGCCTTCCTTATTGTTCTCCACACAGAGCAGCCGCTCCTCACTGACGGACACGTTGAGGAAAGCCACCATGTCCCTCAGCGTGGGCACCAAGCTGCGGCGTAGCTCCTCATAGTGCACCACCAACAGCCGCTTCCCGTACTGGAGCCAGTCCAGCACGTGCGAGGACCACCACGATGCGTAGCTGTTGACAAAGTCTGGCCACTCTGGGGCGAGAAGAGAGGGGACAGGTCAGGAGCAGTTCCCGTTGCCCACTGCCCAGGACCACCATGCCTGTACGTCCTGCAGAGGAAGAGCCGTTGGATGACTGGGAGGAGGTTCAAGTGTACCAGGTTACCAGCGGTACCTCAGAAGAAAGTCCTAGTAATCTAGTTCAGAAGAATCCATTGTAGAAAACCTATGGACTTCTGGTGTGGCGCTGTAGAATAAGCACTCGATGAGAAAGTCGGTTTGAATCGCAGGGTGGGTAGTTCAAACTCACCAGCCGCTCCTTGGAAACCCTATACAGGTTGCTATGAGCCGGAACCGACTCCACAGCACTTAATAACAACAACAACAGTTCTACTCGGACATACAGGAGGTCACTTGACAACCAGTTTTTATCTTTGTTTAAAACTGAGTGGATGTGGTGCCTGACTCATGTGCATCCGGTGGCAGGACACAGAATGAAGTCACAGACAAGGGACAACCTGATGTCTTTGCAGATGACCTACTCTATAGGATTTCTTATCCAGAAGACTAAGAATTTACTTGTTTGGGGTGAAGTCATGAGGCCCCCACTTCCAGAGTAGCAGCCATGTCAAGGACTATCCATCCAGACACAAACAGTTTCCATCACTGTGCTAGCGATAAATCCCAGGTACAGTGAGAGGTGTCTGTTTTCTCTGATTTTTACCACGAGTTTCTAGGGTCATGTCAGGGAGTAAATTGGGTCCCCCATAAAGGACGTATTATGAGTCCTAAGTCCTGGTGTGGTACTGTATGATAAGTACTGGGCTAATCATAAGGTCGGCGGTTCTAACCCACCAGCCACTTCTCAGAAACTCTATACAGGACACTTGGCAACAACATCAACATTCCAGTGGCTATGCTTCCATTTAGGAATCTGGTTTTTTTGTTACATCATTGAGGCCTTATCATTATAGGGTGCTGTTTAAAGCCAATCCCTTTCTGAGGCCAACAGGCACTGAAGAAGGGAAGCAAATGGGGAGAAGTTAGAGACCACCCAGAGATCTCCAATGCAGGCCATCTAGACAGAGAAGGCTGAGCCTAGGGTTCTCCCCTGAGTGGACAGCAAGCCCTCCCCAGAGCTAAAGTCCTGACCTTGGGCTTCTAAATGGTGAGAAAATCAATGTCTACTCATTAAACTCCAACTTGTGATGCTTCTGCGGCAGCAACTTGTAGAAACGGAAACAGAATACTGTATAGGCCCAATTGCAGGCGTCCACGAGTAGCAGAAATGCCTAAGGACTCTACTACTAAATGAAAGTTGGTGGTTCTAACCCACCCAGAGGCATTTCAGAAGAAAGAGTTGGCAATCTGCTTCCTAAAGGACACAGCCTTGAAGCACACCCTCCCTCCCACCAAAATAATAATAATAATAATAATAATAATTAAGGCAGATGTGGTTAAGTGCCGTTGAGTGGTTCCAACTCATAGTAACCCTGAATGGGGTTTTTGAGGATGTGTATCTTTGCAGGAGTAGAAAGCCTCATCTTTCTACTGCAGAGTGACTGGTGGGCTTGAACCTCCAACCCTGTGCTTCATAGTCCGGTGATTATCCTACAGAGCTACTGTGCTCCCTAAGACAGACAGAGGCTGTCATGATCCTTGTTTTTCAGATGAGAAGATGGAGGCTCTGGAAGAAGAGGTGCACATTTTGTCCAGAGTGGCCACACCAGGAGGAGAAGACAGCAAAGCCCAGTTCCACCTGATGCGTTGAGCTCCTTCCATGAGCCCTGAACTCCAATGGGCTTAGTGAGCTATGGTCTCTGAAGGGGAGTCAGGAAGGCGGGCAGGAAATGTCTGTGTGGGGCTGGTCTAGGCTGAAGGTGATGGGAAAGGGAGGTCTGGGAAACCAGCTGAGGGCACCAACATGCCTCAGCGGATCCACAATCAGGAGCCTGTCTGGCCACAGGGTTCCCACTCCTCTCCCCACCCAACCTGCCTGGACTGGGTTTGCTATTGGACAGATTCACTTCCTCAGCCAGTATCACATTGCGTTTACTCTCCCGTATTTACCGCCCAAAAACTAGCCAAAGAATGCCTTGTGGAACGAGACCAAGACTTTTTCAGCCTGGGGTCCTCTGAGTCTTGCCCAGGGCCTGGAACGCAATAGGCCTTCATTCAGTGTGTGTCCACAGATGACTGACTAAAAGACACGCAAAATCAGAAAATCTGGGTTTGAGCCCAGGCTCAGTCACATGCCACCCTGGCCACCTGGGATGAGTCATGGGGCTGCGCTCGCTGTGTCTCCATTGTTCTCATCTGGGAAGAAGGAGTGGGGGCTATCACCCAGCTGGACACTGTGGCTGGTCAGTGAGAAGCAGTTTCACTGGAACCAGTTGCTACCAAGTCTCATGGTGTCCCCGTGTGCAGAATACAACTAGGTTCTGCAGGGTTTTCAATGGATATTTTTTGGGAAATAAATCGCCAGGTCTTTCTTCCGAGGCACCTCTGAGAGGACTTGAACTTCCAACCTTTTGGTTACCATTGAGCACATTACCATTTGCATTGCCCAGGAACTCCAAGAAGCAGTTTAGGAGGTGCTTCACCTACTGGGCATGTGTGTGGCTTCACTGGCCCATATGCCCCATGAGAGGCAGACCACTGCCCCACTGGGGCTTCTGCTTCATTCCGTGAATGAAGAACCCACTCGTGGAGGCAGGTGAGGGTTAAACCAGGCCCATTTGGGTCCAAAGCCTATGCTCTTCCTACAGCTTCCTGTAAGTTCCTGGGTGTGAGCAGGGATGGGAAAGGGGTATAGGGCATCTCACTTGGTGCTGACTGGGCTGGGCAGATGTGGAAGAGGTGGGGAGGAGATGAGCTATACTTCTGTACAATGTGTGAGTGGGTGAGTTCTGAGTGCCCAGGTAAGCAGGAAGGGGACAGGGAGCCACAGTGACAGAAAGTCCCGGGACGATGGGTCAGTGCATACATGAATGGTCTGGTCCTGAATCCCCACGGCAGTCCTTCTGCACAGCTGAGACCTCCACCCCACAGAGACCCTCCTCCACTTACCTTTGCTCTTCCAGTTGCGGTCAGCTGCATAGCCCAGGTGCCCGGCACATTTCCTATTGAATTCAGCCACCAGGGACCTGTAGGGATTCCGGATGAGCAGGATGGCTGAATCGAACATCTCGATCTCCCTGCGGCCACTCTCATGGGTCTTCACGCAGATGGTGCGCCGGCTCCGCCAGTGGTCCTTTTCACCCTTGAAGCCTGCCCACCAGAAACAAGAGGCCCCTGGAGGAATGCACCCGCCAGGGACCAAGTGCTAACTTGCAACCCTGAGGGCGAGTCAAAGCTAGGGGCATACAAGAGACCCATGGAGGGCACAGTGGAAGGGCCACAGGATGGCCTTCAAGAACAAGTGAAAGCAGGAAACGTTTAAGAGTGTGTGTTTACCATAGGAAGGAGGTAAGACACCCCCTGTAGGCTTTCAAAAGTCAGGGAGCAGAGCCTGGCCATGTTCCCTTTAGGGGTGCTGGAGGTGTATATGCTGTGGGCATCTTAGCAGTGATAACTTCACACGAGCCTTCAAAAGAACCACAGCTGCAGATATAGCCGGATGAAGAGACCGAAGGTCAGAGTGGCTGTGACACTTGCCCAAGATCTCACAGCCTCCTGGCAACACCACCAAAGCTCTGTCTGCGTGGCTTTACGTCGTCTTCCCACCCACTGGCCCACAGGGGACGTGGGATCCCCATCACCAAACTCCAGGGCTATAAGAAGCTGTAGCCCCTCCATCTAGTCTTAGGTCATACTCTGGTAACAGGGCCCCAGCTTGCATATGAGGTGGCTCTGCCTCCTGGCCAGCCTCTCAGCTGCCCGTTTCTCTGGTCAGAGCCTTGCTCCTATGGACCAAGTCATCTGGGGTGTGTCCCTTCCTGGGTCACTTGAGGCAGTGCTGGGTACTCAGAGCCCAGATGACTGCCGGCTGGAAACTGCAGGCTCTTCACATCCATCCAGAGTCCCACACTTGTCAACATAGATTCACGCAGTGAATGTGAGTGCTCTGTGTCAGAGGAGCCCGGGTGGCACAATGATGCAGCACCCGGCTACTAACCAAAAGGTCAGTGGTTCAAACTGAGAAAGACCTGGTAATGTGTTCCCTAAAGATTAGAGCCCCGGAGACCCCACAGGGCAGTACTCTAACCCCACATAAGGGACTATGAGTCAGAAGTGACTCCATGGCAAATAAACAACAACCCTCTGTTGTCAAACTTTACGTCAGGGATAAAGGGATAGAACAGAGACTCTGTCTCTAGGGGTCTTCCAGTACATTAGGGGGAATAGTTCTAGAGACAGTCAAGCACAAACTAGAGCTCCGGGGCTTATGAAAGCCAAGAGTGGAGTATCAAATTAGGAGCTCTGGTAGCATAGTGGTTATAAATCAGGCTGCTAACCTCAAGGTCAGCAGTTCGAAACTACCAGCTGTTCTGAGGGAGAACAATGAAGCTTTCTGCTCCCGTAAAGATTTACAGCCTCGGAAACCCTGTGCAGGGTCGCTATGAGTCGGAACCGACTCCACAGCACATAACAACAACAACAGTGGTATGTCATCAAAGGTTTCCTGGAAAAGATGTCACGTGAATCTAGTGTCCTGACCACAGCCCATACAGCCCATGCCATTGATACATTTTACCATTCTCCTCTCTGGAAACTCATTCAATAAATGCCCCTGAGCTTTAGCTAGGTCTCTTGGAAACCTCAAATGAGCTGTACCCCTCACCTCCTTCATGAATAGCTAAGGAACTACCGTATCTACAGCGAGCAGTGAGGGATTTGGTGATGCCTGGAAAATGCAGGGTTTTTGAACACAGAACGTATGAGTTCACCCAATGAAACTCAACACATCACACTCATCTCTGTCCTGGGCAACAGCCATTGCTTTGATTCATTCTGATCCCAGGAAAGGAATAATTAAACCATGGGCCGGATGATCTTGATGTCTGGTCTTTGAGAACTCTGAGACACAGGGTGCCTTTCATATGGCCTCAGTGGATTCCAATGCTAGCCATTTGCTATAGCTCAGGCCACATTCACCCACAAGGTTGGCTCGGGAGCTGTCTTGTGAGCTTTTGCATGTGTGTCATCACTTTGTCAGTGTTCTGAGGCCAGTAGCTATGTAAAACCAGTCTTACAAGGCTCCAAGGTACCCAGGCTTCTTACACTATTCCAACCACTGGGCCATGGAGACAGCTTGAATAAGGTAAAGCTTTTATATTAACAAGGTGTGTAACTGTGATCTATGCACATGTGAGTGATTCCTAGATATCTAGACTGGTGTGGGCAAGACCAGGTACTTCGGCCACGTCCCCCTTACCTGCAGGTATCCATAACATTCAAGACTCTCCAGGAAGATGGGGTTGGATTATACGAAAAACCTGGGTGTTTTCCCAAGCAGACCAAGACTGCTGTGGGGATTCTAGAACGCACTGCCAGGAAACTCAGAAGTTTCCATTCTTTTCTCTAGGATGTTACCGATGCATCACCTTTTCCTAAACTAGACACTAGTTAAGAAACCCAGAGAAATTGTTCCACATTTCAAATGTGAAAGTGGAGAAATATCTTTTGCCAATTTCAGAAGCCATTTGACTTGTCTAAGGTCCTTAGTTCTTAAACAACACAGATTTGAGCCATTTACGTTTATTTTATTATTGGTATAATGAGGCCTCTGACTTCTACAAGGAAAAAATGAGAAATCATGAAACTCTTAAAGACTCTTGTTGTTGTTGTGAAGTGCCATCGAGTCGATTCCAACCCACAGCGACCCTGTGTAGGGTTTCCAAGGAGCAGCTGGTGAGCTTGAACCATCAACCATGCAGTTCAAACAACTTTGCACTCTGACGCATTAACCCACAGAACCACACCAGGACTCCTTGTTGTTGTTGTTGTGTGCTGTGGAGTTGGAATCCAACTCATAGCAACCCTGTACAGGGTTTCTGAGGCTATAAATCTTCCCGGGAGAAAAAAGCCTCATCTTTCTCCCGCGGAACAGCTGGTAGTTTCGAACTGCTGACCTTGCGGTTCATAGCCTGATTCATAACCATGACGCTACCATAGCTCCTTAGACCTATTTAAAAAATCAGCAGTCCCCTCCCAAACAATAGCAACAACAAATACATGACATCTGATCTGTATTAAAGGTTCTGAAATTTATGGGGAATCCATGAAATGTTTACAATAAGTGAATTCAAGCTGCTTGCCTCAGACAAAACATTACCTCATGCAGTTGTGCTCCAAGTGTGGTTTTAGGGCTGCGGCATCAGCACCACCTAGTTGCTCATAGAAATGCAAGTTCTCAGCCCTCTCCCTTCCAAAACAAACACATCAGAACCTCTGTGGTGTGGCCTAGGAGTGTGTGTTTTAGCCAGCCTCCTGGACGCTGCTAATATTTGAGAACTGCTCTAAGTTGCAGGGTGCGGCCAGGAATATGCATTTAGGCTGCAGAGAGCTGCTTTTCTCCCTCCTCAGGCGGGCCTGACTTACCTTTGTTGTAAAGGGTTCCATCAAAGTAATAGCTGCCTGTATAGAAGCCAGTAGCGTGCTCAATGAGGTGCCGCGCCCACGTGTTCCCAGCTCCCGGGAAGCTTGACAAAGCCACAAACACTTTGGACTTAGTGGGCAGGAACTTGCGATCTGTGCACCGAGTGTCTGCAAGTCCAGAAATTGCCTCAGGGTTAGTCACCTCCATTCCATATGACTCACCCTCCCCATTAATAGATGGGGGAGCAGGGACCCAAGGAGGGGAAGGATCTCCCCCTGTGCCCTGGCTGCACAGGTTCATGGCCAGCCAGAGGTAGCCTCCGTGACAAGGCCTCCCATGTTCCGTGGACCCTCAGTCCCAGTTTTGTCTCCTGTGGGCTGACCTGAGCCCTTTACCACACTCTCAGCTACATCCAATAATCAACCAGCGCTGGGCTCATGCTAGGCGAGCTGTCTCTCTGTGTCTCACCTTCCTCCAATCAGGACTGATGCAAAGAGCTTGGGAAATCTCAGGTAAAGCCCTACAGCAGCTGGGCTGTGTTTGGCCAGAGTAGAGGTCTCATAAAGGTGGGTCAACTGTTTCTGAGGTCAGCTGGGACAGACCTGAATGGATGCCAAAGAGGAGGCCCAGGACCACAGCCCAGGGACCTGAGACACTGGAAGCTCCTCCTTTGGCCCACCTCTGCTGTCCACATGCACATTCATCCCTCACCACCATGCCATCCCTCTGGGCCCACCTCTCTCTGCACTTCTCACCACCTGCATCCCCAGAGGACGCAGGGGAGGAGGGAACCCTCTTCCTCCCTACTAGCTGTACTACCCCCTAAGTTGTTAGGGTTCTAATGCAGACACCCCACACTTCCCTGATGTGCACACTCAGCTCCAAATGCTGAAAGCTCCTCTCCAGCCCCTAGGCTAAACGTCCCAACCTGTGGCAACTGCAGAGAGGTGTGGGGCCTGTGTACGTTGTCCACCTCTGGGGAGAGCTCACCTTGCACAGGTGTCTGGTAGACCTCGCAGTAACCCCCCAGCCTCTGTGTCTGGGCCTCCTGGCTGCACAGTGAACCATCCACTGCATCCCGCAGGTTGAACTGGGGTGTGGGGTAAGCACAGTAGCACTCCCAGCCCCTGAGGATGGCCAAGGGGAACTCCTGCCAGGGAAAAGAGAAGAGAACACCTTGGGTGAATGTGTGGAACGTGCCTTCCACAGCTCAGGTATGGCTGAGCTTGATGGGATGTGCTATTCCAGGTGGCACGGGGGCCACAGGAATGACTGCCCATCCTTCTTCCACCTGGCCCTGTGCCCACACCCAGGAGAGACAAAACTCCACCAGATATGACTTCTGCCCTCAATAGCCCCACAACTGATCGGGCTGTTCAGCAGTCACAACACATATGTGGACAGTACTGTGTGGACAGATATCAGCAGGTTTCAACAGCACTTCTAGTCTAAGAGAGACTAGGAAAAAAGATCTGGCACTCAATTTCCCAAAACCAGTCAATGATAGTCCTATGGATGGTCTGGTTTAGTGCTAGGAGATAAGTCCCCCATGAGGGAGGGCCCCAACAATGGATGCAGCAATGACTGTGAGATGGGACCACACTAAGCAGTGTTTTGTTCCATTGTACATGGAGGTGCCGTGACCACACAGCAACTAACCACAACGAAGTCATCAAATCCACTGTGCGTGTCTGTGATGTGGCTGGTACACAGGAGGCCTTTCCCATCAGCACCTTCAGCATCCAGCCCCCCACGGGCATCGGCCCACATCTCACCGTCCACGTATCCCACAAAGGTGTTTGGAGCACTTACTAATGGAGTCCTGGTGTGGTGCTGTGGGTTAATGCGCTAGATTGCAAAGCTGTTTGAACTGCAAGGTTGGCAGTTCAAGCTCACCAGCTGCTCCTTGGAAACCCTACACAGGGTCGCTATGGGTCGGAACTGACTCGATGGCACTTAACAACAACAACAACTAATGGTTTGAGTCCTGGCAGTGTAGTGGATTGCGAGCTGCACTGCTAAACCGCAAGGCCGCTCTGTGGGAGACAGATGAGGCTTTCTGCTCCTATAAAGATTAACGGTCTCACAAAGCCTACACAGACAGGGTCACTATGGGTCAGAACCAGCTCGGTGGCAGTCAGCCACCACCATGAATGGTTCAATGCTTAACTGCTTAACCCAGAGGCTGGTGGTGCAGACCCACCTAGCAGTTCTGTAGGAGAGAAGACCTGGCAATCTGCTGCTATAAAGATCGCCAAAAAAATAAATAAAAGCAAAAATCAGTAAGAAATCCCTAAACCTACTGCCATCGAGTCGATTTTGACTCCTGGTAACCCCACAGGGCAAGGTCGAACTACTTCATTGGGTTTTGTTGTTGTTAGGTGCCATCAAGTCGGTACCGACCCATAGCAACCTTATGCACAGCAGAACTTAACACGGCCCGATCCTGGGTTAGCCTCACTACTGTTGCCATGCATGTAAATCTTTACAGGAACAGATAGCCTCATCTTTCTCCCATGGAGTGGCTGGTAGGTTCAAACTACCAACCTTGTAGCGAAAAGCCTAACATTTAACCCACACGTCACCAGGGGTCCTTTCCTGTGAAGATGACAGCCTAGAGAACCCTATAGGGCAGCTCAGTGCTGTCCCACAGGCCTCTCTGCTCCCAACAGCAGCAGCCGCAGCAGTGTAGCAAGCAGTTGTTGTTGGTAAGTACCGTGGAGTTGGTTCTGACCCATAGTGACCCTGCACAGGGTTTCCAAGGCTGTAAATCTTTACGGGAGCAGAAAGCCTCATTTTTCTCCTGCAGAATGGCTGGTAGTTTTGAATGCTACCAGAGCTCCTTAGGCAGGTCATTAACTCATCACATCTGCCTCTCCCTGCAGCTCACAAACAGGGAAGGCTTGCTGGAGTGCAGAGAGGGCGAGCAGTTTAGGAGTCTGTGTGTGCTGCCTGCCTGACTGCCTGCATGCATGCATGTGTGTGTGCGTGCATGCATGAGGGGGGAGGAGAAAGCTGGCCCTTGCCAAGGGAAATACTGCACAGACTTTTTTTTTTTTTTTTTGCCAACAGCAAAAAAAAAATTTCATAAATAAATAAATAAAAGGCGATCAATAGCATTTTCTGAGCACGGCTTGGCAAAGCTGAGGCTCTTGACACTCTCCAAAGACAATAGACAGCATCCCAGCCAAGGGAGGGGTGACCTCAGCAAGGTGGGAGGAAGTGCTGCCAGAGACTGCCCCCACCCCATGTCTGACTGTTCCTGTAAGCTCTTCCCTACCCGCAAAGCTCAACAGTCTTCTATGCAAACCTCTCCCACTACCCACATCTTTCTAATGTGCCCAGGCTTATGGGCAGCTTTACTTCTACCAAAAATTGTACCAGGACCAGGTGCTGAGTTGCTCTGGAGTGAGGAGAGGGGAGGTTTCTATTACCCACACACTGTGCTACACACACACACACACATACACACACCACTTGCTGCACTACCTGCTTCTAGAACTCGGAGCTCCCTTTTGCACTGGGAACGCTCTTACATTTTATGGAGCCCTTTGGGGCTCTCAGTTTCTCTGTTACCTGGACAGAGACAGAAGATCTCAGTGAGACCAGAATTCCTACTCCCATGATTCCCCCCAGAAGAGGCCTGAAGCCAGAATTTCTGCAAGGCTGCAGGATGGGGTAAGGAGGTGCTTTGGGTGTCCATGGGTTTCGTGTCCAGTAGGACCAGGGAACAAGCAGAGTGTGGTAAGAGAAAGGACCAGGCTTATAATCAACAGATCTGGACTCCAATGATGGTGCCACAGTTCAAAAGCTGTGTGACCTTGGGCAAGTCACTGTCCTCCTCTGAACCTCAGTGTCCTCATCTGTAACATGGGATAATAATGTGTACCCAGAGCGCTGGGAGGATGAAGGGAGGAGAATGCATGTGAATGGTGCAGTCTATATAATACATGCTTACCTAATCTTTTTCTTACCCACAAGACCCTTCAGCGTATTGGGATTGGGCCCTTGACACTCTCCTTCACACTCAGTACATGAGAGTTTGTTTTCTTAAATCCTTCACTCTGGCCATCTTCAAGTCCTAAAGTGCACGCAGGTCAGGTAGAGATCTGATGCCTGTCTCCCCCATGACCATCCATGGTCCTTTTATCATCATCAACTACGTAACGAGAAGACTTGCTCTGAAGACTCAGTTGCCACAAGCTGTAGCCCCGGTTTTGGTCACACTCTCAGACACAGCGACAGTGACTGTCCCAGCTGCACGAATGGTCATGTCCAAGGCCACCATCACTAGACTTGGGGAGATGTGGACAAAAGGCTGATGAACCCCACCAGTCTCCACCTCCCACAGACCCTCAGCCATTGTTCTACAAGAAGAACCATCTATGGTTTGACCCTGGATTGAAACTCCGCTGGGTTTTCTGGAAACAAGTTCTCTTGCTGATGTGAGTAAGTGGGGAGTGGTCTGGAGAGTTACAACCTCTGGCCTCTGTCATCAGCCAGTGTCTCCACTGAGCTCCCACCGGTCTCCACCCCGGCCATCACTGTGGTCCCAGGAGGCAGCAGAGCCAGGAGCCAGGCTGGCCATGCAGACAGGACTCAGTGCTGAGTCTACCTCATGTGCACTTCCCTCCACACCGGCTTTCTTGTCTGCCTCACTAGGTACCTGGAACCCCGGGGTCTTGGGACTTGCTGTTCCCTCAGTATTCTCACGGCTCGTCTTCAGAGTCTTCAAGTCCTCTCCTCGGCCAAACCTTCGCTGGCCACCCTGATTCAATCTGCATCCCACCCTCCACCATCATCTTCCTGGCTGCATGCTACCTCTCTGCTGTGTTGAAGAAAACTTTTATATAACTGGAGATGAAATGCTCTGATCTTAAGTGAATCATCCAATCAGTGTTGATGAATATATATCAAGACACATGACCTTCCCATCACACCCCAAATGTCCCCTGGTGCCCTCCACATGTCCACCCCTCCCTCTGCAGAGCAGCCACTAACTATGATTTCTGTCACCACAGATTAGTTTTGCCTACTCTAGGAGTCTTGGTGTGACACTAGAGGATAAGCACTGGACTGCTAACTACAAGGTCGGTGGTTCAAACTCACTATCCACTCCTTAGAAACCCCATACAGAGTTGCTGAGTTGGACTGACTCTATGGCTCTTAACAAAAGCAACAACATTCTAGAATTTATATAAATGGAATCATATAGTACAGCTTTGTTTTTTTCTAATTGACTTCTTTCATTCAAAAATTCAATTTTTAAAGTCATGCATGTTCGTGTAGCAGTGTTGTCATTGCTGCAGCTGAGTCAAGTTCCATCGCATGGATGGACCACAGATGCTGGTCCTTCTCCTGTGGATGGACACCTGGATCTTGTCCAGCGTTTAGCTCTTATGAATCAAGCTGTTATGAACATTCTTGTATAAGACTTAGTAGATACGTATTTCCATTTCTATTATAAAATTGCCAACGATTCTGGTTCAATTTTCTCCATGACACTTTTGACCACCCAGTGTACTTGATATCTTACTTATCTACTTGGTTTGTTATGTGTCTCTGTCCACTAGAATGCAAACAGTGATTTCTGTATGCTTTGCTGGTGGATGTAGCCACAGTACGCAGAACAGCATCTGGAACATGTTGTTGTTGTTAGGTGCCATCGAGTCGGTACTGATTCACAGCAACCCTAGGCACAACAGAACAAAACACTGCCCGGTCCTGGGCCAACCTCACTATTATTGCCATACTTGAGCCCGCTGATGTTGCCACTTTGCCAATCCATCTCGCTGGGGGTCTTCCTCTTTTTCTCTGACCCTTCACCTTACCAAACATGATATCCTTGAACACATTGTTGTGTTGTGAAGTGCCATCGAGTCTGTTCTGACCCATAACAACCCTGTATAGGGTTTCCGAGGAGCAGCTGGTGAGCTTGAACCACTGACCTTGCAGTTCAAACGGCTTTGCAATCTGGCGCATTAACCCACAGCACCACACCAGGACTCCCTTGAACATAGTAGATGTTTAATAAATGTTTGAAGGCTAAGTGAATAAATGAATGAACATGAAAATCTTTTGTAAATCACAACTCCCCCAAAAGCTCTTGCCAATGGACTTGGGCACAATTGGTTAGTCATCTGGTTGAGT